TTATGCACATGTCTGTAGATGTATTTTACATACAGAAAATAAATATACACAAACACACAATGGGACTTGTGATAAAGAAATTTCAAATATAAACTGAATAAGAAAGCAATTAGGGCTATAAACTCCTGGTTAACTTTTCTGCTTAATGCATCATTTCCAACAATGAAACATTCACTTGGGTTCCAACTTCCACACTTTGCTGTTAGACTTGTTTTCCAATGCTTCTTTAAAAGGATATTTCAAACATTTTGTTTTCCTTGCTGAAGTTTTCGGTTTTTTCCAGGCAGCTCAGAATTTAATTCCAAGCTGCTTCACTGGCTCATTACCAGGTGCTACAATTGATAAGATCACACATCTCCATTACCCAGGGAACACCAAATGCTCCCCCAGCCCTTAAAACAATCACTTTCCTTTCTTGTAAGAATATCTCAAGCTCCATCTTCCATTCCAGTCGTCTTTGAATACGAGCAATCACCCCAGTGGGAATGCAGCAGACTCCCTTAGCTGCAGAGTTCCTGTATTTGAAGAATATTGAGCTACCACACGCTGTGCTGTAACACTGAAAGGGAACCCCCTCTTGCTCTTCCAGATTATTTTCCACCTTTAAATATATACAGGCATATCAGGAATATGATACTCTGAGCAATCCAGTCTAGTGGAAGGTGCCCCTGCCCACGGCAGGGAAGCTGGAACTAGACAGATATGTAAGGTCCCTTCCAGCACAAACCGTACTGTGATTCTATGAACTTTTTCCCTTTAAAGATTAGTGGTTTGATGAGATTAATGTTATTTTTCTTCTTTCTACAAAAACATCACAAAAAACCCAGGAACTGAAGAGATGCTTTTCATGGTTTGCAAGTCTCATAGCTCAAGAAGCTACAAAGTTATCACTAAGTTGAACAAAAGTTTAGGTAACATTACCATTCAGAAGGAAATGGCCAATGTAGCCCACATGGTTAGCCTACAACAGACTGTCAAATGACAGACCAGACTTTTCCCAGTTGTTTTCCCCTCAGACACCAAGAGAAAAGCACCAAATGCCACTCCTAAACTGCACCTATAGAGCAAAGAAAAAAATGCAAGAGCAGGTGCTTCCCTCCAGTCACTTCAACTGAAGCTGACTGAGAAGATGCAGCAGAACACTCATACAAACAGAATGGCTTTTTTTCCTTTCTATACACAAGAACAATTATATTTCCATGTTACATATACAATGTCTATGTCAAAGAAGCAGGATATCTTGCTTTAGAGATTATTTACCTCCTACAACCTTCATAGCAACTTCCCTTACTCTATTTTCTATGACTGTGTCCCTCCTAGTGATCACCTATCACATAAAAACCTAAGGGCCTGTTGGACTGAATGTTATCACTCTGTCAGCAAAACAGCAGAGATTTATGACATGGAGATGAAGGAGAAACAGCTCTGACCTCCTCTCTTATGCATCCAACTGTCTTGCTTATATTCAACTCATGACCAGCAGGTCCCATCTGAGCACACCCCCTCAATCAGCAGGGCTCACCAAAAAACAAACCCACAACATTTCACTTGGAACTGCTTCTGTCTTTAAAGAAAGATTGCAACATCTGCAATAGGGCAAAACTCTTTCCCGGCAGATTAAATACATTTCACAACACAGGTTAAAATTTTTAATATTTCTTTTAGTCAAGAGCAGGTTTTTGGCTGAATTTGGCTCAATTAAGCCAGTATAGATTTTCCATGTTAGTTTGAATGGCTGAGTTTAAGGACTGTGATCACCCTGCAGTAACAACTCACATGGCACACACTGAATTACATCAATTAATTGTTCATAAATGACTAAACAGAGCATTTCTGGAAGATATTCAAGAAACTTCCTCCTCCTTGGGGTGGATAATTCACAGACCTATAGCAGAGCTGCCCAGCTACCCTTGGCTGTCACGTTTACACTGCTTTCACCCAGTTATTGTGTAAGGTTAAAATGGCAGGAATTCACAGGAAAAACAAGAAAAAAGTTCACCAGCAAAAGTATCTAGGTCGAAGTGTAATACATTACACTAGTAATGACTTTAACAAATTTCAGAGATGTTAGTGAAAAGTCTTTAATGATCCATGACTACTTTCTAGTCTGCTGTTACAGGCAGAAAGGAAACGCCCCTGTATCATACCAGCACAAAGTTTCAGCACTTGGCTGGCAAAGGAGTGGTGACTGCTCAGGGATCAAGACAGGCACTTCAGCATCCCCCAAAGCTGCAACTGAGCTTCAGGATGATTAGTCCACAAGACCTGACATTTTCATTTCCAAATTACTTAATGAGAGGGAGGAAGCAGCCAAAAATGTCTTACTCCTATCCTGATAAAGAAATACAGACTTATTGAGAAGAAATATGCCAGCAACAAAGTACACACTTTCTCTTCATTCACCCATCAGAATACCCTCAAATCTGGAGTGTGCAGATCCAGAATAAATTATTCAATTCAGTAACACCACTTAGATTAGATTTAGATTTGGAGAGGAGGCAAAAAAACAACAACACAGATTCCCACAAGTACTTTCTAAAGCAAGCAAATATCTTATTCTCTGTAGCAGTCCTACAGACAGGGCACAGAATTGGCTGCAATTAGGTCATCCCACGCTATCGCTAAGAAGATTTGACGATTTCAGATTTAAGAACGCTAAAAAAAAGTGGAACCTCTGTATGAACACAGACTCACTGAAATATTTCAAAGCCTTTTCAAAGAACAAACGTTGAGATCACACCTGGTGCAATGAAAGCTCAATCTGTCCCATTCAAAAGAGAACAGAGCACTTAGAAAGTAAGTTATGGATAATAAAATATACACATCAAGATCCCATTTTAAGACATTATAAAATACTTCAAAAGTTTTATCAGTTTTTACTACAGGTAACCTGACACTTTACCAGAAAAACCAAAGAGGCATAATAAAGACATCAGAACTAAATGGTTCTCTCATTAATATATTACCTTTCTTGGACTGCAGATATCTCACAGCCCTTATCAAAGTAGGCCAGATCCGTCTCATTTCCCTAAGGTTAAGCCGGTGAACAGTACACAAAGTAATCATCCACTAAGGCATGGCCACCATTCAATGACAAATATAGCTCAAGCTATTTCTCATCTGTCCTATTTTTTTGGGAGGCTGTGATGAAGCTTTTTCTAGAAATCATCACAACTGGCAGCTGTGAAGATCCTGGTGCCTTTGTCCTCTTATGCAACCCCTGGTGTTCCCCTTCTCCCCCCAACAGGAATAACAAGAGATTACAGGGCTGCTCTCCAGATTTTGGGGCAGAGGGGACGGACAAGCAATCTTCCCTGAAGTCATGTTCTGAGAACACAGGCGACCAGAGGAAGAGGTGGGATCATTTTTCATTCATTTCAGTAGCTGGAATGGGTGGGGAGGATCAATAGCTTTTATCATGGCCCAATGCATCCATCCCCAGCCCTGCTGGGGCATCCTCTGGGACTGGAGTAGGGGGGAGAAATTGATACTTCAATACTAAGCAGCCTGAACAGCAGATGGCAAAAGCTTGCTTTTGCTTTCAGAAGATTCTTCTTCCCTACTTTTAAAAGTTACTTTCTTGGAGGTACTTTCATCCTGACCCTCACAATAGTCCAAGGAGATGAATCCAAATTTCATCTAATACTTCTGTTACCCAATTTATGACACACAGATCTGGCATTGTTGTTACCCCCTTCACGGTAAACAAGTTTTACTAAAAGCAAAGGACACTCTGTATTAGCTTTGTTTCCAGCTACCGTTACTCATTGTTTACTAAATATTATTCCCTTGTGAGCTGACAGGTTCTGTACTTCATGAAACCAGGGTGTGGCGTTCCACTTTTCCCATTTCTAAGTCGATTCTACTCTGTGTGGTATAATATGTCAGTGTGTGGCAAGGACTAAAGTATTTCTGAAAGGTGCAGAAAGCAGGCAGGACGAAGTGTTAAATGCTTCTTCGTGTGCCCTCCTAATTACTAGACAATAAAAACTGTAAATAAATTCAATTTTTTTTCAAACAACTAATCAGCAGCTATGCCTATCGAATCCTTAGTTCAGATACGTTTACCCTGTACTTCTGAAGTAACTGGCTGTCCGTGATCCAAGATTACGGTGACGCAATACTTCACTGCCAGTTTCTCTTCCAAAAAAGAAAGTACATTGAAATGAAAGCAAGCACGAGGAAGGTTATGCTTACAACCAGCAACATTCAACTTTTTACAGTTGTTTTCCATCTAAGGAAGATTTGATTCTTTAGCTACTAAGAGAATTTCGACCTTAATCCCTGTAAAGTCACATCCACAACTCCAATATACAAGTAACGTCCAGATGATAATACGGTAAATATTAAAGTCTTGGGGTGCAAATTAAGATTATCACGTGAATTACTTTCCCATGTCCATCTAACTATTGTTAAGCCTCAATTTCAAGTCCAACCGTCTAATAGTAATAAATTCATGCTCTGTGGCTACTTATTGTCTCCGTTTGGGGGTGGGTAATAGGGGTGGCAAATTCAGAGACATCAAGTAAAAACATGTGAGTCTTCCGCTCCCTACGATCAGGATCAGACACTTAAAAACTACTTCTTCTAAAAGGTGAGTGAAAGCAGGATCACCCTCGCAGCGGCTTCAAACATACAAAGATCACACACAAAGCCGTCAGATCCTCACATCAGTGCAAGTACAAACCAAACAGCTCAAGCGCTCTTTTCATTTCAAATAATTCTTAAAGGCTGAGGGAGAAAAAAAAAAAAAAACCAAAAAAAACAAAACACAAAACCCGAAGCATCCCAGCTGTCAGGTGAAGCAGCTCCTGCGGAGGGGCAGCTCCGCACTGCAAGCGCATGACCAGAATATTTATTTTCTAGCTTGGCTTTGAGAGGAAAAAAACCATGGAACCACAGGTGGTAAAGCGTTAAATTAAGAGGGAGAGAGAAATGCATACAGATATATACATACACACACATACACACTCTTATATATAAATAAAAGGTCGGAGTACCTTTAGCCCAGCACATGGGGAAAGGGCTGCAGCCGCTTTTCTCCATGCAGCCCGCACCTGCCCGCCTCGGGGGCTGCTGCCCGGCCACCTCCAGCAGCCACATACACGGAGCGTGCTCGATGCCGGCCAGCTCCGGCACACAATGTCCCGATTCAGCGCTCCGGGCTCCTGCGGGGGGAGGCTGGAGCCGCCTGGACGTGCCGGATCCCGGCGAGAGGAGGGAGCCCCGGCCCTCCCCGGGGCGGTGCGCCTTCACCTGGCTGCGGGGGGAGCGCGGTCCCCCGGCCCGCCCGGGGCTCCAGCGCGCTCCGCTGCGGGGAAGCCGCGCCGCTGCCTCATCTCCCCCCGCCCCGGAGCATCATCCTCGTCCTCGTCCTCCACCTCCTCCTCCTCCCCGGGAGCGGTGCCGAGGCGGAGTGAGCCCTGCGGAGGAGGGCGGGCAGGGGCGGGAGGCGATTACCCGGCTGCCATTAATATGCTAATCCCCGTCTGCTGCCCGCGCCCGGCCGGCTCCGGTTCACCCTGGGCGCAGAGGCAGAGCGGGGGAAATGCGCTGGAAACGCCGCCCGGCCCGGCCGCGGACCGGCCTCGCTTCGCCGCCGCTGATGTTCCTGGTCCCGCACCGCCCCTCCCCTGCCGCACCCGCCTTTTGCCATCGCTTTTACACATTTGCTGTGTCCGCTTACCGACACGAGCGCCAGGCATCCTAAAAGCAAAACTTGGCTTTAAGCGCACGGGAACTTCCCTAAAAGCGCTGGAGAACTTCCCCAAAGTTCAGCAGGAATTGGGGTCACACGCTCCATCAGCACTTGCCTCACTCCACGAGATTAAGGATGGAAGAAGCCCGGCAGGGCTGCTTGGCCCTAAAGAATGAATATCGCAGCCCACGCCAGTCCTTAGTGCCACATCCAGCCCCCTCTAAAGCCGGGGCTTCTTTATTGACTTCTCATCACAAGGCAAAGGTCACCTCAAACATTCACCCCAGATGGTGAAGGGCCTTTGTTTCTTCTTAACTTTGTAGCACCTAACACCAAAACTGCTTAAAATAGTTTTCTTTTAAAATGATGAGAATAAATACTGCAAAAGCCAATGTTTATAATAATCACACAACCAGGCAGAATGTGTGTATGGAAATAAAGCAAATATCCATTTTACAGCAAAGTATTTCACAAAAATTATAAATAACTGTTTCAGCCAGAACACGTATTAAAATCAACAGGAACGAGATTCACACTTATCATTAAAGCTCTTTATGTATTCCACGGTAATCTCTTCTCACTCCCAGCCCTCAGCAGTAAGGCGTGAGGCTTATCCAAGACTAGAACCAAAAGGGAATTAATCTAAAGCCAGCAGCCTTCAACTTAACCTATCTGCCTACTTGTAGCAGCATGCACTCGTCTACAGCATATGTTTAATTACCACTCTTTACTGCCATCTCATTTCTCAATATACTGACTGGCCTTGCAGAATTAGTGGTCAAAATTCTTGATTAAAAAAAAAAAAAGAATTTTTAATAATTGCGTTTAAGTATTGTCTGCTTCTCTATTTAAACGAGAAAAAATATTCACTGGAAAAAAAAAAAAAAGAAAAAGAGAGAGAGAGATTAGGCCACAAGCAGGCCCATCAGATGTTCTGCATCACTGCTCAGGCACAAAGCTCTTTCTGGGGCTGAAGAAAGCCAAAGGGAACTGAAGACATGCCTGGGTGCCTTCCTCCCCCCACCACAAAGTTTTCCAAGCCCCTCAGTGTTACACAGACAGACAAACACTTCTAGGGACAAGGTCGATTATATTTACCTTCAATAATAAAGCAGAACATGCTACAGTAAATATTTAAATCCCCCAATTATTGTAGTAGTGTGGGTACAGAAGGGGCACAGACAGGCTCAGTGCCCCTCTGGTTCATGCTGCAGCTGGCAGGGCAGGAAATCTGCTTTTACACACCCAGCTCTGCCATTGGCTTCCTTGGTGACCTTGAGCAAGTCAGACTTGTTTCCTTCAAAAAAGGAAACTGCAGATACTTCAGTTTTCCTTCCATTGGTTTGTTCTGTGCTCTAGGGTGTAAAATATATTTTTAAAAATGTGTTTCTTCTATGAAACAAAAATGCTTTCCAGAAAAGCAGATAAAAAAATATCAAGAAGTAAAAAGGGGGGGAAGGTTTAAATTAAATTTTATTTATAAAAACAAAACCCTTTCAATATCAACTGGTAAGTGCATTACCAAGGACAGTTTTAATAAACAGAATGTGTGGACTCTGTATTCTTTACACTTTTAACAGATGAGGCCAATACAGATTATCAATCCAAGTGTCAAGAGATACTGCCTGCTCATATAATAGCAGTATTATATTCATTCTTCTCAAGGACATATCTTCTTGTTTTTGCATTAGACTACAAAATGAAGGTGAAAACTAAGTACTTCATAACATGAGAATTTTTTAAATTCAATTTTAGAAGCTGTTCAACATTTTACACCCCAAATATGTATTTTTTCACTTAAACCAAGTGCTTCCTTGATGCTTTTAAAAAAATACTTAATATCTATTTGTTATTATAAGAAGTACACAGTGGACATATGCTCATCTTCTTCTTTAAAATAACATGATAATCTTTTTCTGCACCAAAAAAAAAAAAAAAAAAAAAAAAAAAAAAAAAAAAAAAAAAGCCAAAAGCATAAAATTTATGTTCTGGAGATGTTCAGAAACCCCAAAATTCCAAGTTGCAGGGAGGAAGGCAGGCAGGGATGAAGCAGCAGCAGACAAGGCACAAAGTAAAAAAAAAAAGAAAAACAAACTTGAGAAGTTAAATACATCTCCAGTATACAGAGTATACTGAGTATTTACAACATTTTACAAATACTGCTCCTCAAGTAGGTATCTGGGCAGCATTTATGTAAAGTAATCTGTTTTAAGTAATGCCAATCAGATTATACCATTTACTGAGGTAAGAAACATCTGTCAGAAATTAGGGCTGTGGAACAGGAGCGTTGGTTCTTGTTGTGCAAGATGCATTTGCTGACACACTCTGATAGTATGTGTGTAGCAGTTTCTGGGTAAGCAATGATGATAACAGCTATCAAAGAAAAACCTAAAAAAGTATTTAATAGAAAAAGAAGAATTCATAAGTTTTTACTAAGAATATGTAGAAACACTGGCCATTTTCCTTAGCACACATTCTAACCAGAAAAAAAGCTCAGACTACCCCAATAACAACAGACAGGCCAAGGTCAGCTAAGAAATGGAATTCTGCCCCAAGAAAATTCAAGTTAAGACTTTTCTGCTATGACTATGATTTTGTTGCTCAATTTCAGCTTGTTTTTAAAGACTACTGATTATCAGCATCAGCTTTTGGAAAGCAAGAGGGGAGGAAAAAAGTGAGAAGTATTTTTTTAATTGTACCAAGGCATTAAGTTTTTAAAATTTTCTTTGTGGTGCTGAGCCTGTCTCCTATTGATGTCACCTTCAAAAATCAAGAAGCTCTGGGGAGCAAAGGGTTAAACAGCAGGGTTTAGTTTTTTACAACTGTAATACATATAAAAGGCTGTTTGATTTTTTCCACTCAAGCTTATCCAAACAAAAACAAAGATCAGGCCCATCACACAAACTGGCAAACCCTGGCTTTCTCCATGGTCATGTCCAGAGCTGGAACTCCTGGGGGTGTCCCAGAGACCTCATCAGCACAGAACTGACCCCAGTTTCTCCCTCAGTAAATGCCATTATTAGGAACTCTCTGCTATTCAACTAATTTTTTTTCACAACAGTTAATATCTCTATTCAACAATAGCAATAGCTGGCAAGTTGGAGCATTGTTAGGAAGGAGACCAGGACAGAACCAAACAGGGAATACTTGTCCAAGTTCCACTGTGCTGAGAAATCAAACTGAACTCAGGATTTGGAAACTGTGAAGAAAACAGACAGATTGGTACCAGGGTAGTGCTGCAGAGCAGAACAGAAATTTGCTTTTCAGCTCCTCTCCAGCAACACCTCAGCCACCAGATGAAAAGCAACAGAGATCTCCTCCAAGGGAGAAAAGAGCAGCTCATTCACTTGTTAGAACAAAACCAAAGAGCTAGAGCCCAGAGCACAGCCATGACATCAGCATTAGGGCTGGAGGCACCTCTGCTCTGGAGACAGGACAGAGTGAGGAATGTTCAGCCTGGAGAAGGCCCCAGGGAGACCTTGGAGCCCCTTCCAGTGCCTGGAGAGGGACTTCTGACAAGGGCACATGGTGACAGGACAAGGAGGAATGGCTTTGAACTGAAAGAATATGTGTTTAAATTAAGTATTAGGAAGCTATTCTTCACTATGAGGATGGTGAGACACATCCAGAGAAATCATGGATGCCCCATCCCTGGAAGTGTTCAGGGCCAGGTTGGATGGAGCTTTGAGCAACCTGGTCTGGTCTAAGGTGACTGTGTCCATAACAGGGGGTGGGAAGTAGATGATCTTGAAGGGCCCTTCCAACCTAATCTGTTCTGTGATGCTTATTATGATTCTGGATTCAATAATTCATAGTCTTAGCCACTTCATGGGCTACTGTTTATCACTCTAGTAATTTCTAGAAGCTGAAGAGCAGGGCAATGTTTTGAAGGAGATCTGCAAATTCCTGTAGGAGATGGAAGAAGAGTTCATTGCATTCATCTAGCTGATAAAGAAAGTTTTCAAACAAAGTTTACCCTCAGAACAAGTGCAGGATTTTTTTGGCAAAGCCACAAATGCTCTCTACCATGACAACTGCAGCCCACAAAGCTGAGAGTGGCTGATGAATGTTCTAAAAATTAGAACATGTTTATTGATCAAGTGACAGTCTTCTGCATCTGAATTAATTCACTTTTCCTAGTTAGTATCCAGAATTCCTCAAACATGCTGTCCAGACACTGTAACTACACTGTAATCTTCATTCATTTTCATTCCCTCAAGTTAGTTCTTCGTGCGAGTTTTTTCTAAATATTCTAATTATTCTTTGGGTATATGCATTATTTTAAAGTGTAAAATATAATCTACCCTAAGTTTCCTCTTAGCCAAAGTCAAACAAACATCATCTTTGTTCACAGGAACTACTGAAAAATGGTGCATTGTAATTAGAACAAATCCAAAA